CCCACCGGGGGTATTTCCCTGACACTAAGGCAGCCACAAGCACACTCCACCCCCACTTCACAGGCACGAGGCACACAGCTGAACAATTCCTATCTCGAGGCAAGATCAGCTGGATACCTCGAAGTTAGTAAAATCTTCATAGCACACGGGAAGGCATCAATAATTTCATTTCACATCTCAGACTGTAGCCTTGATCTCAGCTGTGGAAGTCACTGCTTGATTTTCAGTAAACTACACTCATCAGCTTTATTCCAACACTAAGAGTTCACCCCTGTGGTCTCGGAGGACTGCAGCAGAAGCCCCGCTACAGGAAAGAATCCATACTTGGCTGCAGAAGCCACTGATTCACTTGACAGAGATCAACACAGTCAAGCAGGGGAGCCCCTATTTGTTCTTTAAGTGTCTCCCATCTGACAGTAAAATAAAACTTTCTCAGGTTTTGATGGGAGAAAGATGGAAAAGCAAAAACTAGAGATTAAATCACTTGGAATAAGTAACACATAACTTCAAGTCCCTAGCCCACAGCCTCGACGAATATGAGAGTCCCTCCACTTTACTCCATATTTACCCTCTTCTCCCTAGCACCACCTAAAACCAAAAAAGTCTTGATATCACTAGCATACTTCCTGAAGTTATTTTATGGAATTAAGATTCATAAGAATCCATTTAATGTATACCTTCAAAGAACACTAATCTGCTCTTATAGACACATGATTTTTGTGAAAACCACAGTAACTGCAAAGTAATTTAGAGATATTGCTACCAAATATTCCTTCATTTTTAAATGAAATAAGACCTATGTGATTCTGGTTTTTGCTACTTCACAATTAATTACCAAGACTTACAATTAACACTTAACTGTTTTTTCCCCAAGAGAAAAAAAGAAAAGAATCATAGAAGAGTTTGGGTTGGAAGGGACCTTAAAGCTCACCTAGTCACCTAGTCCCAGCCCCCTGCCCCGGGCAGGGCCCCCTTCCCCCAGCCCAGGGGGCTCCCAGCCCCGTCCAACCTGGCCTTGAACCCTTCCAGGGAGGGGGCAGCCACAGCTGCTCTGGGCACCCTGGGCCAGCGCCTCACCCCCCGCACAGGGAAGAATTTCTTCCTTATATCTAATCTAAATCTGCCCTCTTTCAGTTTAAAACCATTACCCCTTGTCCTATCCCTATACTCCCTGATGAAGAGTCCCTCCCCACCTTTCTTGTACCCCCTTTAAGCACTGGCAGGCTGCTATAAGGTCTCCTCGGAGCCTTCTCTTCTCCAGGCTGAGCAACCCCAAATATCTCAGCCTGACCTCACAGGGGAGGTGCTCCAGGCCCCTGATCTGATCTTCTTCACGGCCTCATCTGGACCCACTCCAACAGGTCCATGTCCTTGTTATGCTGGGGACTCCAGAGCTGGACCCAGCACTACAGGTGGGGTCTTACAAGAGTGGAGTAGAGGGGGAGAATCCCCTCCCTGGACCTGCTGGCCACACTGCTCTTGATGCAGCCCAGGACACGGGTGGCTTTCTGGGCTGTGAGCACACATTGCTGGCTCACAGTCACTTTTCCAGCCATTAATACCCCCAAGTCCTTCTCTGCAGTGCTGCTCCCGAACCACTCCTCGCCCAGCCTGGATTTGTGTTTGGGATTGCCCCGACCCACGGGCAGGACCTTGCCCTTGGCCTTGTTGAACTCCATGAGGTTCACACAGCCCCACCTCTCCAGCCTGTCCAGGCCCCTCTGGATGCATCCCTGCCCTCCAGCACGGCGACCGCACCGCACAGCTCGGGGTCACCAGCAAACTTGCTGAGGGTGCACTCAGTCCCACTGTCCGTGTTGCCAGCAAAGATGTTAAACATCACCAGTGCCAACACCAACCCCTGAGGAATGTCACTCATCACTGCTCCCCACTTGGCCATCAAGCTGTTGACCACAACTCCGAGTGCAACCATCCGGCCAATTCCTTATTCACCAAGTGGTCCATCCATCAAATCCACGTTTCTCCAATTTAGAGAGAAGGGTGTCGTGTGGGACAGTGTTAAATGCCTTGCACAAGTCCAGGCAGACGATGTCAGTTGCTCTTCCCTTAACCACCAGCGCTGTAACCCTGTCACAGGCAGCCACAAAATTCATCACGCACAATTCGCCCTTAGTGAAGCTGTGTTGGCTGCCACCAATCACCTCCTGATTTTCCACGAGCGCTAGCATAGTTTCCAGGAGGATTTTCTCCATCATCTTTCCGGGCACAGAGGTGAGACTGACTGACCTGTAGTTCCCCAGGTCTTCCTTTTTTTTTTTTTTTTTTTCCCTTTTTAAAAGTGGGGGTTATGTTTCCCCTTTTCCAGTCAGTGGGAACTTCACCAGACTGCCACAACTTCTCAAATATGATGGGTAGTGGCTTAGCCACTTCATCTGCCAGTTCCTTCAGGACCTGCAGATGCATCTCATCAGGTCCCATGGACTTGTGCACCCTGAGGTTCTTTAGATGGTCTTGCACCTGATTTTCTCCTAAAGTGGGTGGTTCATCATTCTCCTAGTCCCTGCCTTTGCCTTCTGCATCTTGGGCGGTGCGGCTGGAGCACTTGCCAGTGAAGACCGAGGCAAAAAAGTCACTGTGTACCTCAGCCTTCTCCATATACCAGGTAACCAGGTCTTCCATTTCCTTCTGGAGAGGGCTCACATTCTCCCTAGTCTTCCTTTTCTCACTGATGTACTTATAGAAGCTTTTGTTGCCTTTGATGTCCCTGGCCAGATTTAATTCTGTCAGGGCTTTGGCCTTCCTAACCCAATCCCTGGCTGTTTGGAGTTTCTCTGCATGCCTCCCAGGCTACCCACCCTTACCTACACCCTCTACAGGCTTCCTTTCTGTGTTTGAGCTTGTCCAGGCGCTCCCTGTTCATCCATGCAGGCCTCCTGGCATTTTTACTCAACTTCCACTCTGCTGGGATGCACTGCTCCTGGGCTTGGAATAGGTCATCCCTGTACACTAAACAACTTTCTTAGGTCCCTCTTCCCTCCAGAGCTTTACCCCATGGTACTCTGCCAAGCAGATCCCTGAAGAGGCCGTTTTATGGAGTGCTTATTTAAGGAGTTTCACTCACCTTTTATTACAGAGAGAATACTATACTGAATGAAACACTGTCTGGTTGTACACGTGAAAAATGTTATACTACATATTGGAATTCAATTTAATTTGACTAGAATGGACTATGGAAGACATTTTTTGCCCTCAATTTGAAAGCCCAAAGGTTCTACGCTAATGACTTTCCTGAACCATACTTGATTTTGAAGAGAACAATAATTTCACTTATTTCCACAATAGCAGTGAATTACCAAAAACTTGCTATCCACTGTGCTTAGAGTGAAATTTTAAAATTAAGAATTGCACAAGCAATATTATCCAATAATTCCAAGTCTCAAAAAAACTGAACTGCAACTACTTTTAAGGAAAATTTTCAGCATGGTGAGGTCATAGAATCTGGCCTGTACTTGATATATCAGTGCTTATGTAAAACTTTTATTAAGAGACATGAACACTTCCCTATTTCTGTATCTCTTGCCAAATACTATTATTCCTGGAAAGCAGCCAGAGCAACCATGTGGTGGTTAAGACCCACAAACCACATCCCCAAATGTCTTGACATACAATAGAGCACATGAAATACACTTCTGCAGGTGTATGGGCCCATCTACCCACTGCTGCGTTTTGGATATCATATACCCTTGTGAAATGTAAAATCTGATTTTGAGAAATCTTGAGTTACTTTACATTGAATACTGTATCTCTTTGTATTGTGTATCTCAGGTCATTTCACTAGATTCAACAGAAAAAAAATGTTCCTGATCATGATAAAACCACTATCAAGTACCAACAGATTATTTCATTACTATTGTAATTAGGATCAGTCAAGAAAAAGTATCAGAACTTGAACTCCTAATTTCAGACACATAAGCAGTTACATTAATCTCAAGTTACCATTAGGAAAAAGGCACTAGAAAAGCTGCACTAGCAACAGGATACAGTCACAAGAAAAGTGTTCTGCATTCAGTCCTTGCTCTATTCCCCTGTCAGCAGTCTATCATCATTAGCTATTCCACTATTTGATGACATTGGGTTTAATTACTGTGATTAATGAAATTTTAAGAAACATGCTGGTTTGTATTAGCTCTCCTAAATGTCTTCCACTTTCTTCTTCCTTCCCAATTCTTTCAGTTTAATTTTCTTCCTCTTGGATTATTTCTCATTTTCTTTCCAATCACAACTGCCCTTAAACACAGTATCATCTTACCATGAATTTTCATAGCAGATGAGAAACTGAGGAATCTCCTATTCCTTAAACAATTCATGTAAAAACTGTCTGAAGATCTATGGGGTTAAAAAAAGCCAATCTGAAGTCCGGAATATTTTCATTGCAATAACAATTTGGAGCCAATAAACTTTTTTTTTTTTAAATAACTGCATAGATACAATCTAGCTTGTACAGTTCTAGAGGGAAGAGAGTAATCTACCCAATGTAACTTCTATTTAACAGAAACCGAGCAGTCGCCATTTCAGTTCTTGAATTTCAGCGTTACAAGGAAGAAAACCAGCTGAAGCCAAACTAACAATATTCCAAAGAGTAAGACTGTGGAATAAAAATAAAGCATATACCTTGTTTAGTAAATTAGTAAAAACAAAACAAACAAACTTCACAAAGCCCAATGCAGAAAACAGCATAGTGACCAGCTGCAGAAGCTTACCAACATTTAGGCAAGAAATCTCTGAAGAATATTGAAGTACTTAAAACATTAGTTCAGTTTTCTGGTTATGGTGAAGATAAAGAAGAATCTTTACCCAAAAGACCATCATAAGAGGGATAAATATTGGGGTTGACTGTCACTGTATTTGGGGGTGTAGGGGGGGGCCGCGAGGGAGGAAGAGGAAGGGGGATTAAAAAAAAAAACCCTCAACCAGTTATCCTTTCTGAAATAAAGAAATTACTACATTATATGTATGTAATGACTTAAAAACAATGCATATCCATTCAAATTGTATTTATTTAATTACACTGTAATGCAAATAAGTTAGGTCCATATAAACTCCATTTTGTCGTATGTACAACCTAGGTCATGAGCAAGCTGCCTCAGCCAGCTGGTCTAAGTGTCCACCTCATCCTTTGGAATGTACATATCTTCAGATACTTTCTCTGTCCATCGGCTGGTTCTACAACAGGACCGTCATATCCTTCATCCCCAAAGTAGACTGAAAGGGGAGGCAGGAGGAAACAAAAGTCAGATTTGCAGCATGTACTTGTTTTTAATAGGTATTGGTAAAACACAAGTCTGGAGGAACAGCCCTGTAAATGTACAGAATAAACACTGGCCCACAAAAATACTGAAATAATGCCACCTTTAAAATAATATTTAAGCCTACAGAGCCTGAACATGTGTTCAGAGAAACGAGCGTCTGTAAGCTTCAGAGCAGACCTAACTTCTGATATCTAGGTACATACACTCTGGTATGAAATACATACTTTATGCTGTGCAGAGACATACTCAATGGACCAAGAAAAAAAGTTTCAAACTGCTAGTGAAGCTAAACATAGAAACACTGTCATCAAACAAACAACTCCAGCAAGTTAGTTCTTAAAACAACAGATATACTGAAATTGTAACATGATCTTGACTCTTTTTTCGTATTTTCTACTGTTAAAACTAGCTCCTTCCAATCACTGAATCCTGAAAATGGGATTCCTATACATTGTAACTCTGTGAAGCTAGAAGAGTTAATATATGAATTTGCAAACAATACAGTCTATCAATTATTTGTCTTAGGAATACCTGGTTCTGAACAGTAACCAAAGTTATTTCAAGAAAAATGAAAGTCACAGTTTCATCAAAACTTTAATTAATTTGACCCATAGAAGCCCTCCAATAAAACTCAAATACCACAAGAATTTAAGTATTATTACTGCCATGACATTACAGCACTAACAAATAGTCCCACAATAAAGAGGCAGCATGAGCAAACGCACTTTGCTTCATGACAATGACTAACATTGAAGGATATAGCCCTTTATTTCGTGCAGCTTTTATGCAATATTACCATATCTGCAAAGGCAGAAGACTTTGTTTTGGTTTAAATTTGTGCTAGAAAGCTGAGAAGCTATTCCACAGTGCAGAAACTTGCATAAACTCGCTCTACAACAGATGAGAAGGGCAGCTCCCACTCAAAGATACAGTAAGTCCCATAAAAAGCCATGAAAGATTAAGAGAAAGGCCCTTCCAAGAACCTGTGTTTCGCTGTCTTCTCATTTAGATTTCTAAAGAAATGAGAACCACAACCAGATATGCTTTCACTCTAAACAATTAAAAACAATGGATGAAAGCAACTTGTACAACTGCTGCTGTCCAGACATAGCACCTAAAACTGTAACTATCTGCAGTGGGTTTGCATGTACATTCAGAACCAATACATACCTCCAGATAGTTGGCTCAGGCATTCCAGGATCTGCACCTCTCCTAAAACCTGAAGTGAAACACACATTTTATATATATAAAAATATGTATACACAGACTCCTACAGAAATGTGATTCATGAAGTTGCATACTAACCTGAATAAAAACTGTATATTCTTATCAGGATTAGAAAGCAGAGAAAACAAATACAAGTGTACTTTTTTTCAGGGTTTGTTTGCTCTTCCTCTCAATTTGTATCTGCAGCTTTATCTACCCCAAAGATCAAGACATACATACCTATACACACAAAAAATACACAGGTTTTAAATGCCGTTCAGAAGGTAACCTAGTAAGGCTGTACCAACAGTGACACCTATATCTGGTATAAACGAGCGCCTTGAGTCCTAACAGGCAATGTTCTGCAATGACATCTGATGCAGAACTTAAAAGCAGTATTTCAGTAACATTTCACTCCATTTAGGATGACAGAATTCTAAATGTTAAATCAGTTACACCTAAAATCTTCTATTTTTACTGGCACTTTTTGAAAAGCTACCTAGTACTAAAGCTTTCAAAGAAACAAGATGTTTGTCAACCTACTAACACCCAAGAAAACAAAAATAAAGCTAATTACAAAGAGTTCATCCCCAGCTAATGACTCAAATACCAATTCAGTGAAGCAAATGTATGCTAGAGAAGCAACTGAAGGATCAATGTATAAAGTATCTTTGCCCACTGGACTGTAAATTAAAAGTCTTGAAGTGGAATCATGTAATCCACACACTGTTCAACACGCTCTCCTCTGTATCTGCTATCTAGAACTGGATGTTATATGAAATATATATTATTTCCTTCATTTACAGGTAATAAACCATTAATGTCAGTTTGCCTGAAACACTGGCCATGAAGGTTAATGGAAAAACTTTTATTAACTTCACGGGCACTCGGTTAGCTCTCTGAAGATAACCCTGTGTGGTTTGAGATTATTACACATCCTGACCAGCTTTCTTTGGTTGCCATAGTGTCCAATAAAATTGCTTTAAAATTCATAGGAATCACACTCTGTGTGTGTGTGTGAATGTTTCTGGCTTCTCCTCCACCAGTAGTTTTAAAAAAAAAGCAAGCCAGGTTTAACAAAATTGCACTGGTCTAATTTACCTGCTTAAAACAGGGGCGGTCACTTCAAAGCAAGTTTAAAAACATACAACAAAAAAACAACCTGACCAATGACCTATAATTGCATATTCACATACAAGGCTCCCTCATACATCCCCTGAACATTCCACCCTGACCTAGAAAGCCCTTCAAAGAAAGTTAAAAGCTCAAGAATTCTGGAAGTTTCCTTGCCTGTGTTTACTTCAGAGTATTATTTCATATACACAGGGGTCAAGACAAAAATTTACCTTGAATCAGTGACACCAAGGACTATGCTGCCTCTTGCCCTTTCACTGTAGCACACCTTCCCTCCCAGATTCAAATGTAATCCCAGTACAAAAGAAGTCCCTCAAATTCTACAGTTTAAGTGCATGCCACCTCCAAATACCTATAGCAAACTAAGGTGGCACCTGCATGTTCCCCTCTCATCTGCTTACACTTACTGTCCTTTCATTACAGCATACAAAGTTATAAGGCAGCAATGTAGATTTGGAACAGCACGCTTATTTTCTGGAGGTATGAAGATAAACTACAACTTAGTTTCTCACCACTACGTAACAAATATACTAAATACTCTGACATTACTGCAACTGTAAACATAGTAATACGGCTTTATATGACTTGAAGTAACTTATTTCATTTCCTCTGGTGCCCCTCAGAACACAGAGCATCATTCCCATATTCACAGATACCATCATAAAAGTAAAATCAAAGCACAACTTCAGCAGGAGAAAAATTAGGTCACAAAACACTGCTGAAATTCCCAGCCAAAAATTATCAATTTAAAATAACTGATAAACTAAAAATGGAAATTTAATTAAACTTTAAACCTAATATTGCTAGTTAGCTTTTTCCATAGCATGTGAAGTGACCTCTTGTAGTTGTTAAAGCACATATGCAACTGTTGAAGGACCCAACTTTTTCCTGATTTTTATCTATTAGGTGAACAATCAAGGCCCTTCAAATCGGACATTGCATTCCCCTCAATTAATTAAAACAACATATCAGCTTTGACTGTAAATACTTCAAGCTCCCAACACTCCTTCACGTTTGCATTCACGGCAGAGATGCCTGCCTGGTTTAGATGCTTTTCCCAAAAGGCCCAACAGCGTTGGGGCAGAAAGTAATCCAGATGAACTGCGGTGATCAGCCTTCCTGGGACCCCTTGTCATAAAAGTAGTGAACAAAAGTGTCAGGCCTATTGCACACGCGCATATCTTAAGTAGGTCTGCCTCTTTAACAAGCAGAGCTGACGGCATGCAGCCCAAACTCAGCAGCAGAACTACCATGTGGTGGCGATGCCCTCTCAGCCCCGTGACACGAGCAAGCGAAATACACCTTAAGCACCAGGCACGACACCAAGGCACCCCCTGAATGCTCCACAGCAGTTCAGGAACAGGAGCGACGACATTTTGGGCGAGGCTGTAACCTGTGCCTAGCTGGAAACTCAACGCCAGCCAGAGTCTGGCAACCCCCTCGGCACACCACGAAGCAGAGCTCCCGGCCGCAGCTTTCTGGCCGCACACTGCCTCCCGACTGCGAGGAACACGCAGGCCAGCCTGCTAAGGCAGCCAGTCACTGATGCAGGACTGAATCGCAGCTTCGCTTGCTGTTCAGGTGCCCCGGTGCGCGCTGAGCCCGCCCCGCTGAGGGCCCCGACCCGCCGGCCTGCGCGGACCCCCGGCGCCCGCGGCCCTCCCCGCACAAGGCTCAACGCACGCTCCCAGCGCTCCGGAAAGAGGCAGAAAATCCTTTTTAAAGACAAATAAATCAATAAATAAATAAAACCCTCAACTACCTCGCCGCTCTGTCAAGGACAAGTCCCTACCCGTACCGGGCCCCGGGGGCCCCACGCCACTGTCGGTGCCTCCGCGCCCCCCACCATACCCCCCTCAGTCTCCCGCCTTCCCCAGCTGCGCATGCGCGCTGAGGGCTGCAGAGTCCGCGTCGCGGGTGGGAGCGGCCCCCCCCCCCCATGCTCTTCCCCCCCTCTCCAAGCGGGCAGCAGCGGCCCAGGCGGCGGGGGGAGCAGGCAGCGCAGACCCCCGGCCACCCCATCCTCAGCCTCCCCAGCGGCCGCCACTGACCTAGGTAGAGCACGACGGGGATGAAGCCCCAGCGGATGGCGAACTGGCCGCCCTTGAAGAGCTGCTGTAGCCGCTGCTTGGCCTCCTTGCTAAGCTTCGGCATTCCGGCGGCGGCAGGGAGAAGAGGAAGAAGAGGAGGAGGAGGAGGAGGAGCCCAGCCTCCCTTGTAGCGCTGCACCAGCGGCGGTGGGCGGGACCCCATCGCGCCGCCGCCGCCGGGTTGAGGGGAGGAGACTCCCCTTCGGCGGCGGCGGTGAGGGGCGGCCCTTCCCTGAGGAAGGCAAGAAAATGGCGGCAGGGGCCCCCCTCCTGCCTGTCACCGGCCGCTGGGCATGCGCAGTGCGGCGGCTGGGCCCAGCGCCCGGCCGGGGCGGGCGTGCCCGGGCCAGGGCTGTGGGCCACGCGGAGCCGTTATCGGGGCGTTTGTGCCAGGGCTACAAAGGCTGCGGGACGCCTTCCTCTGCCTGTAGGTCCCGCATTTACGTGTTTGCGTTTCCCGGCGCTCGCAAAGGTGTGCACACGCTTTTGCACGCCGCCTCTGGGGGCTGGGAAGTGCCTTTTTGGTAAGTGAAAGGTAGAGATGGAGTGGTAAGAAAATTGTTTCTGGGTGATGTTGGAAATGCCTCTCCATCTTTGATACCAGGCTGTGCGATCCTCAGTCCAGTCTGTGGAAACACAGAGTTCTGGGAGTAAAAGCTTGACTAGAAATACGGGGAGAGGTGTTCTGGTTTTAGACCTAATATCTAAAAATACCAGTACAGTGCTTAGGGCTTGTTGTCTTACAAATTCAGAGCCCAGATAATTACTGAGGCACTTCCTAACTACTAAAATGAGCAGTCTCTGCAAGAACCCATTGCAGTGCCCTAACCACCAAGCTGTTGTCTGTTTGACACTACTAGCGAGATACCTTGCTGCATGATGTCTTTGCCATTGACTCAGCCAGTTATATCTATAACATGTTTTCATTCTTTCTCAGGTAGTCTGCTGCCTTTTACTGTAATGCCAGATCCAGGTCTTCACGTTTGTAGGATTGCTAATGTGGCTGCAGTATTTAACGTTGTCAGTCTGTATCATGTCTGCTAACTACATACAACTACATAGAAACTCTGAAAAAAGTTCTTAGAAATCACTTCTTGCGACAGTGCAGAAATCTACTCGGTTTTATTCATAGTTATGATTTACTGACCAGACACAGTTAAAGTTCTGCATGTTATGTATTGGTTTGCCTAAGGCAATTACTTGAAGTTCTCTTGCCATCTTGTCACCTTTAAAAAAAATACCAGGTCAGTGCTTTTAGATCCAAAAAAGAATACAGGCCCACAGTAAATATCACTTAGACAAATACCTTGTTTTCTCTTCAATGTGTAGATGCCTGCGCTGCCATTCCAAGATGATCAAAATATGAGCATGCTTTCCAGGTATGGGCAGGTAGCAAACTGCAAGCCACATGAGAGATTGTGACAGCCCACAGCTTGCTTTTGCCATGGTCTAGTAATCAAAATGTGGGAGATCAAAGAGTATTTTGGTGATGTAATGTCAAAATATGCCGACATGTTACAGAATGTACAAACAGCCTATCCTCATGTAAACCAGTCCATATGTGCTGTGCTTTCATATACATTAAACATTGATGGGACACGTCTGTATTTCTAGTCATGTGATTGACATATTTATTGATGTCTAACAAGTAAAGCAGAGGGTTAGAGATTGTGAGTGGCTTCTTTATAAACTGAACAGCATATCCCTAAAGAAAGATGTTGTGGTTTAAACCCGGCCGGCAGGCAAACACCATACAGCTGCTCGCTCACCCTCCCCCGCCCAGGGGATTGGGGAGGGAATTGGGGAGGTGAAGGGAGATCCATAAGTTGAGATAAAAACAGTGTAATAATTGAAATAAAATAATAACAATAATCATACAAATGGGCAATGCACAATGCAATTGCTCACCACCTGCCAGCTGATACCCAGCCCGTTCCCGTCAAGCGATCCTGAAGTATAAAGACCCCACGATCACAATCCCAGAAGCAAGAGAGAACCCCCTCCTTCCTGGCCACCCCTCCTTTACAAACTGAGCATGACATTACCGATACGGAATATTCCATTGGCCTGTTTGGCTCCATTGCTCTGGCTCTGCTCCCTCCCAGCTTCTTGTGCGCCTGTCCACGGGCAGGACATGGGGAGTTGGAAAGTCCTTGATTTCTTAGCAAGAACTGAAACCATCAACTTTATTCTTCTCTTAGCAAGAACTGAAAATCTCAACATTACTCTCCTACCAAATCCCATGCTGAATCCAAAACACGGCACAATTCTTGCTGCTAAGAAGAAAACTATCCCATCCAAAACCAGGACAGAAGATTAGGCACCAGTGCTGTAGTTCATCAGCAGATTACAGCACACAGCTTGTTAATAATCTTACAAAATATTACAATAAAATGTGACCCACTGTACTGAATTAAATTTAAAAGGCATTTCCTTAAACTTCTTTTAATTTTGGTGTAAGTGGGATTCAGAAGGTCAAATGTGCTAAACGGATCCAAATGGTTCTGCCTCCTTTGAGTATAAATTGGTCTAACAGTGTCACAGATGATGCAGTATCTTCTTACTGTGGATGTTCTTGAGAAAGGGTATTCACAAAAGTGTGCCATGTGTACCAGCTGCTTCTCTTCTTTCCTTCATACGTCAAGTCAAGGAATAATTTTCAGAGCACAGAAACTTTCCTTGATAGCTCTTATTTCTCATGTTTGCCACTTCTAATGTTTGACTAAAAGCTTGTAGGTTATTGCCCTTATTTAACCACAGAAGCCAGGAATTTAATAGTAAGGAAGTTAATATTTCTTTGCCACATTTTTCTTGTGAACAGAATCCGTGCTGTGGCCTAGAAGAGAACAAATGCATGTGTTTTGTATGCAAATAAAACAAAGTTGATTACGTATAGCTAATGGTCTAAATTTATATAATGTTACAGACTGAAGCTGAGAAAGGATATCAGTAAGCTAAGAAAAGTGCCTGGAGAACAGCACTTCTTCCATCATAACACCCATCCATAGTCTCATACTGTCCAAAGATCGTATTTGCAGCTAAATAAAAAAAAAAAAAAAAAAAAACAAAACACACAAAAAAACCCCAAAACAACAAGAAACCTCACAACAAAATCAAACACACAAACAAACAAAATCCCAAACAATACAAAAAGTTTATACTGACTGCAGAAGTTTAGTTTTCTGTGCCTTTATTTGGCTCCTGTTGCACCAAGGATGTTAGAGGGTCTGAGCTCAACAGTCCTTTGGTGAGCTGTTGACTTGGCAAAGGGTGAAAATATCATCTTCCCTGCAGGTTCAAGCTGGTGGGACAGCACAATTCAAATAACTGAAATATTCTAAATTGGCCCCTAAACCCAATGCCTATGATTGGGCATGAAGCAATGAGCTGTGTTGAAGAAAGAGGTAATGCCCAAATAAGTGGGTTCTGTAACAAATTGATGGAGGCAGCTTTGCCTGGAGAAGACAGAATTAGGATGTTGTGGGTGTGCTGTGGGTACTTGTTCATGTTAATAAATTATTGTGGTAACATTTCCATGAAGGATATTGGTCTTACTTGATTTTTTTTTTCTTATGGCTGGTAGTGAAGACAAAACCACTTGGAATGGTGTATCCATTAAATAAGAAAAGCAAGAGCCCCAGTTGCTGGAGTGACAAACTTCATAATACAATATGTATTAAATGTTTTTTGTTACAAAAAACCCAACCTCTTTGAATTTCTTTTGCCGTGTAGTTCATGTTATCAGCAACAACCATAAAATCAGAAATAAAACTGCAGAGGTTTTAACTGGAACAACAAGAATGTGAATCCCTACTGTATTATTGACTCGATTAGCAGTAATTCCACAAGAGCTGTGTTTTCATAGCACACAAACACCAGTAACACTCATTGTAAACCAGCCAAATGTTTCCGGGTTTATGGGTGTAGGAGAGAATTGAGATTCTTACAGATAGGAGTGAATCACTTGTAAGTCTGTGGTTCAGGGAAATAATGTCACTCAGTCAGATGGCTTTAGTTTGTCTTTGGTGCAAAGGGTACGTTCCAGGCTAAAGAATCCCAGACCTCTCAAACTTTGTATCAGCACACCACAAAGTAAAGCCATGAAATCATGCATGTAACTTAGAAGGCTGAAGAAGAAGACAAAGTGACAGACTAAAGTTTGTGAAAAATCACTGTAAAGGCTACATAGGAAAGCCCTGCAGACCTCCTTTATGTACTTACCGCGCTCACTTCTCAGATTCCCCTTCAATTTACTGTCAAAAAAATTACATTAAATTCATCTGCTTGGGAAGAAAGTTTGAGTTTGACTCTGTTTCAGAGGAAGTTACATTTCACAGATACTGCAGTAGATATTTCATAGTTGAGGATTACACTGTAGATCAGTATAAATAACACAAGAACATAAGCAAGAGGTATTTAACAGATTTCCATTACAGGGTGAATCTTTACAGTGTCAGTAAAAATGGTAGTATATTATGACTAGACATTATATTTAACTTTATTGTTATGATTAGACTTTCTATTTTTATTGGGCCTTATTAATGATGGTCCTTTTCTTCCATTCCATTTTAGTATTCCCATTCATTTAGTCTGATAAATCCCAACTACTCTGCAGTACTACTGGCCTGGGAAACATTCCGTGTCATTTCACAAAGAGAAAAATAGAAATGGAAAGTACTACAGTCAAAATAAAGGAGACTAAGGCTGTCTGTATATGTCATCTGGGAAATGTCAGAATTCTGAAATGTCTCTTTCTTGAATTTTTGTAAGATCTAGATTACTTGGGGGGAATATGTTTGAGATTTTGCATTTAGCATATTATCTAAACATACTTGGGATACAGAGCAGTAATGCGTATGAAAAATTTCTGCCCTAGTTAGAATCTCTTTCACTGTCTGATATGGGATACTTCCAGGAAAAGTGGTATTGTTGGATGCCTATCTAGAAAAATAGTGAGATTATCAGAGTGGTAGGAACAAAATGCAAAGTGTAGTAATTTTGTATGTTCAATACAATAACTATACAACTTACTTATTTAAAAATAAACCAAAACTGAGTGGTAATGTGGAGTTGAGTGCAAACACAGTAATAATTTCATTATTTTTCATTACAACTCCTGAGGCCAGTGAAGGAGGAACAGCAGTCTGAGGTGAGACAGCATTCAACAGAACCTCATCAAAAGCTGTCAGAAACCTTTGAGAAGAACTGCTGTTGTGCCTGAAAACTGAATATTACCTGTTACAAAACTTCACTGTTTTTTGAAACTT